CCGCCGCCGCAGGCAGCACCCCTGCGGCGGCGGCAGCGGCAGCAAGCCGTGGACCCAAACGCCGTGCCGCCGCCGCCGCAGGCAGCACCCCTGCGACGGCGGCGGCAGCAAGCCGTGGACCGAAACGCCGTGCCGCCGAGTCCCGTGGCTGTGGCCGTGGGCTTCTGGCAGGAAGCTACGGCCGCAGCTCGGTGGCTCGGGGGCGTCGCAGCGTGCCGCCGCCGCCGCCGCGCTGCCCCCCGGGCACGGCGGCGGCGGCAGCAAGCTTGGGCCCAAACGCCGTGCCGCCGAGTCCCGTGGCTGCGGCCGTAGACTGTGGGCCGGAAACTGCGGCCGCAGCTCGGCGGCACGCGGTTCTGTTCAAGTCGCCAAGCGTGCAGCAGCGCCGAACCACGCTTCCCGGCCTCGGCGCATGCCTTCAGGGGCCCCCTATCGCTGGGCGCACCCCTCCAACACCGAACATGCGCTCGGGGGGGAGGGCGGCCCGGGCTGCCCAGGCCAAAGTGGGCCGCCCTCGAGCAAGAGGCGGCCGGTCTGTGTGCTGAATGAATGAATACCCCTTAAATACCCCTTAAATACCCCTTAAATACCTTCCGGCCACCTTAGTTGGTCGGCCAACCGCAAGCGGTTGGCTCGCCATTCTGCTTGCTGCGGGCAGCGGCTGCCCTCACAGCCGTGCCCAGCGAGGAGCTGGGCGAGTGTTCTCCTCCCTGGCCAATATGTGTGAGCTGTGAGCAACTCCGGCGCAATGGCCAGGTCTCGTTTGCGTCCTTTAGAGCCGCTGCCTGAGGACGCAGCCGCTAACTTGCCAGCCCCGGCTTCACAACCCGGCCAAGCAGGCGTGCGGCGCTCCAACCACAGAAGGTGTGCGCAGGGGACCAGGGTTGCACAGTGGGTGCAGCGAGTGGGGGGCGGTGCGCAGGGGGTGGCCGAGGCGGCGCGGACGCTCGCGCGGAGGGGCGGGGCGGGGTGGCAGGGGCGTTGGCTGGGGGCACAGAGTTGGTTGGAGCTGGGGCAAACGGTGCCGGCGGTGCCCCCACGCAGGCAGCCGGGCAGGGGCAGGCTGGG